GTATTCTCTGATCCATTGCAGTGCCTTTCCTGTTATGTGTGCCTGATCCTCTAGCTTTTGCAGTAACCTCTTGTGAGGAACTGTCAAAGACCTTCTTGCAGTCCAAAAATATGCAGTCGATCCACCCCTCTCTCTCTTGTCTTACTTCTGTCACCTTGTCATAAAACTCTAGTAGGTTTGTGACACAGGATTTTCCTTCCCTGAAACCGTGCTGGTTGTCAATTATACACTTGTTTCTTTCCAGGTGCTCCACCACTCTCCTCCTGATGATCTTCTCCATGACCTTGCATACTATACACGTTAGTGATACAGGTCTGTAGTTTAGTGCCTCATGTCTGTCTCCCTTTTTAAAAATTGGGACTACATTTGCCATTTTCCATACCTCGGGGAGTTGCCCCGTTTCCAATGATGTGTTGAAGATCTTTGTTAAAGCCTCACACAATATCTCTGCTCCCTCTTTAAGGACCCATGGAGAGATGTTGTCTGGTCCCACCGCCTTTGAGGTGTCAAGTTCGCATAGCAGCTTCTTCACCTCCTCCTTGGTTATATGTACCTCATCCAGCACTTGCTGGTGTGCCCCCCTGTTCTGATTTCCTGGAGTCCTACTGGTTTCCACTGTAAATACCTCTTTAAATCTTGTGTTGAGCTCCCGAAATACCTCTCGCTCGTTTCCTGTGAATTCCTCATCACCCTTCCTCAGTCTGATTACCTGGTCCTTGACTGTTGTTTTCCTCCTGATGTGGCTGTATAACAGCTTCAGATCAGTCTTTACTTTTGATGCTATGTAATTTTCATATTGTCGCTGAGCCTCCTTTCTTATCTGTGCATATTCGTTTCTGGCTCCTCGGCTAATCTCTTTATTTTCCTGTGTTCTCTGTCTTCTGTACCTTTTCCATTCTCTAGTACACCTAGTTTTTGCCTCCCTGCACCTTTGGGTGAACCAAGGACTCGTTCTGTTCTTCCCATTATTTCTGTTTCCCTTGGGAACAAACCTCTCCTCTGCCTCCTTGCATTTTGTTGCCACATAGTCCATCATTTCTTGTACTGGTTTTCCTGTCAGTTCCCTCTCCCACTCAATGTCTTGAAGGAAGTTCCTCATGCCTGAGTAGTTTCCCCTTTTGTAGTTTGGTTTTTCCCAGCCTATTCCTGCTACTCTCTCCACTTGGAGCTCAACTATGTAGTCAAAGCACAGAACCACATGATCACTAGCTCCAAGGGGCCTTTCATACATGATGTGTGTGTGTGTGTGTGTGTGTGTGTGTACTCACCTAATTGTACTCACCTAATTGTGGTTGCAGGGGTCGCCTCTTCACTGATCGCTACTGGATCCTCTCTCTCTCTCTGCTTTCTGAGCTTTGTCATACCTCTTCTTAAAACTATGTATGGTTCCTGCCTCCACTACTTCATTTGCTAGGCTATTCCACTTGCTGACAACTCTATGACTGAAGAAATACTTCCTAACGTCCCTGTGACTCGTCTGAGTCTTCAGCTTCCAGTTGTGACCCCTTGTCCCTGTGTCCCCTCTCTGGAACATCCTATCTCTGTCCACCTTGTCTATTCCCCGCAGTATCTTGTATGTCGTTATCATGTCTCCCCTGACCCTTCTGTCCTCCAGTGTCGTCAGTCCGATTTCCCTTAACCTTCCCTCGTACGACATTCCCTTGAGCTCTGGGACCAGCCTTGTTGCAAACCTTTGTACTTTCTCTAACTTCCTGACGTGCTTGACTAGGTGTGGGTTCCAGACTGGTGCTGCATACTCCAGTATGGGCCTAACATACACAGTGTACAGTGTCTTGAACGATTCCTTATTAAGGTATCGGAACGCTATTCTCAGGTTTGCCAGGCGCCCGTATGCTGCAGCGGTTATTTGGTTGATGTGTGCCTCCGGTGATGTGCTCGGTGTTATGGTCACCCCCAAGGTCTTTCTGAGTGAGGTCTGTAGTCTTTGTCCACCTAGCCTATACTCTGTCTGCGGTCTTCTTTGCCCCTCCCCAATCTTCATGACTTTGCATTTGGCTGGATTGAATTCGAGAAGCCAGTTGCTGGACCACATGTCCAGGCTGTCCAGGTCTCTTTGCAGTCCTGCCTCATCCTCGTCCGATTTAATTCTTCTCGTCAACTACACGTCATCTGCGAACACGGACACTTCAGAGTCTATTCCTTCCATCATGTCGTTCACATATATCAAAAATAGCACTGGTCCTAGAACTGACCCCTGTGGGACCCCGCTCGTAACAGGCGCCCACTGTGATACCTCTTCACGTACCATGACTCGTTGCTGCCTCCCTGTCAGGTATTCTCTTATCCATTGCAGTGCCCTCCCTTTTACGCGCGCCTGATCCTCCAGCTTCTGCACTAATCTCTTGTGGGGAACTGTGTCAAAGGCCTTCCTGCAGTCTAGGAAATCGCAATCTACCCACCCCTCTCTCTCGTGTCTTACTTCTGTTACCTTGTCATAAAACTCCAGGAGGTTTGTGATACAAGATTTGCCTGTGTGAGT